CTCAATGTTAAAGATAAATCGAAACTGGTTTTTAGTTATACTAACAAATATACCGACATCAATCGACTTAATCGCTCGGTAAAATACCTCCTTCCATATGTATGTGCATCAGTTCCTCTCTATCCTTAAAAGATATCTCGGCAAAGTTCGAACAAAGCGTGACATAAAATGATGGACAGGACTTCGGTCACTTTTAGTGCTTTAAATGGCACAGGAGTCAAAAGTTTAGATAAATAAAGAGAAAGAGCACGTGTATATCCAGGTCAGCAGGTTTTAATGAAAAAACATGTTTATAAGTACGCCGACAGGAATGTTTCGAAGTATGGATTTCAATAGTGTGAAACAGTGTCTGAAACTTAATGTCTTACTTCCGGGTTTCTAAAAGCTTTTCAAATGTTGCCAAGTCCAGTACAATATCCAAGACAGAAAATATGTGTTGCTAAATCCGAATTATCATAATCAGGTTTTTATTAAAGTTCACCATATCCAATTCCCTAACATATATTTTCGATATCCGTCAGAACATCCAGTAAATTGAGTAGAACGGCGTTTCGGACAGCCATATAAATACCGTACTGAGTTCTTGACCGGTAAGACCAGGTCACGTGACCGGACTAAATCGCCTCATGGATCAGTGTCAACCAAAATGTCAATTACAGACCGGAAGTCAGGAATGTTGCTTTCCTATCGTATTCTGATCTTTGACATCTGATTAATCAAACAAGAAGACTTTTTCTTTATGAGTGTTTCTCGTTAGATGCTGTATTTTGTTGATAAAAGATTCGATCGTTTTAGGTCATGTTATTACACACTATCAACAAATCAAAACAAACTTAAAACTAACAGATTTATAAAAATGCTTAACTGCACTGAATTTTATGTAAATTTTAATTAAAACCGACAGGTAATCTACGAGAACCACCACTGTCCTGTCAAACATCTAGATCTGGCGTCGAATGAAATCAGAAAAGAGTCTTTGTTTTCAAACTGATGTCGGCACAATTACACATGAATGATAAATTAGAAACTGTATTTATCTTTCCATAAAGAATGATCGGTATTTCGAAATGGAATAACTCATAAAATAGTGATTAAGATGACATTTATTAGAATGTCATTCAAATATTACAACTGATAATAAAACAAATTAATATCTCTTACATTTAAAACATTAAAATGACGTGACTAAATGACATGATCAGGATCGCGGTAACACTTGATAATCAAGAGTTTTCCTCGGTGACCATGGAAACACTAACCAATCACGTGATGTTATCTCTCATTTGATTGACAGGTCATTAATTTGGACACAATCTGTTTTAGATGAGGGTCAGTTGATAAAAGATATTTCATTGCAGTAACGGTATACGTCCTGGGCTTAAGTTTGAATGTGCTGAGAAATGAATTTGTCTAGTTTATCTTTAACATCTATAACCATCCGGAGATAGCCTCGACATTGTCTGTGCTCTGATTATTGCAAGCAAACGTCGTTCTGTCCGAGGGGAGCACAGGAATGCATGATAATAGTTAAAATATCGGGAAAACTGCTAAAAACGGGAGAAAGCCATTAGCGTTCTATCTGAACATGTCCACATCCTCCAAGATTTCCGGTCTGGTAATGCACTATGGGTCAAGTAATTCTTTAAACCTCAGCATCCGGCGCGGAAATCATCACTTTGGTGTGGAATGGCCGTGTAGTTCTGAATAGTTCAACCTATTCACAAAACGATACATTACGTTTTTTGTTTTTCTTTTGACACAAAATTGTGAATATTTCAGTCTGGAATGAAGACTTTCTGTCTTTCTTTCTTGGCAATTGATTAAGGTGATTTTATAATTTCTTTTCGTAGAAATTGTAATCATAGTAAAACTTATGGGATATCAAGTGGTTTTTGCTTGTTTGATTGTTTACTGTGTATATCGCCCCGTGAACAGACTGCAGTGGGTCTCCTGGTTAGCTGGTGGCTAACTCAGTGAACAACACGCTGAAGGCACTTGCTATATGAGTAAGCACAGACAGGTGCGCTTCTCAGCTTCATCAGAAACATACACACATAACTCTACCTCCCCCACCCCACTACCTGTCCCCGCCATTTCCAGAAGGTAGAATTACGCCATTATGAAGTTTTTCACAAATCAGGAATTTATTTCTACATAAGAAACGGACAAAATGGCAGGGAAATAATTTTAACTGTATTTGTACAATTCTATATTTTGTAACAGATATGTGCAAAAATGTTTTAGTACCTGTGAAATTCACGTTCTCAAAATGTTTAGTACCTTTGAAATTCACGTTCCCAAAATGTTAAGTACATGTGAAATTCACGGTCCCAAAATATTTAGTACCTGTGAAATTCACGTTCCCAAAATGTTTAGTACACGTGAAATTCACGGTCCCAAAATGTACAGTACATGTAAAATTCACGGTCCCAAAATGTTTAGTACATGTGAAATTCATGGTCCTAAAATGTTTAGTACATGTGAAATTCACGGTCCCAAAATGTACAGTACATGTAAAATTCACGGTCCAAAAATGTTTAGTACATGTGAAATTCACGTTCCCAAAATGTTAAGTACATGTGAAATTCACGTTCCCAAAATGTTTAGTACATGTGAAATTCACGTTCCCAAAATGTTAAGTACATGTGAAATTCACGGTCCCAAAATATTTAGTACCTGTGAAATTCACGTTCCCAAAATGTTTAGTACACGTGAAATTCACCTTCCCAAAATGTACGGTGTTCTGTACATGTGAAATTTGCTGTCCCAAAATGTACATTGTTCAGTACATATGGAATTCACGGTCCCAAAATGTTTAGTACATGTGAAATTCACGTCCCCAAAATGTTTAGTACATGTGAAATTCACCTTCCCAAAATGCACAGTGTTCTGTACATGTGAAATTCACGGTCCCAAAATGTTTAGTACATGTGAAATTCACGTTCCCAAAATGTTTAGTACACGTGAAATTCACCTTCCCAAAATGTACGGTGTTCTGTACATGTGAAATCCACGATCCCAAAATGTTCCGTGTTCACAGTTTCCGAATTATGATATCCCAGAGTTATTGTCCTTCGTTTTTTGTCAGACGGCCGGTAGGGGACGAGAATGCCAAATCCATGTCGTGTTGACTTTTAAAATATATTATTTGTGGTCCTCGTACAGTAAAAGTGACAAAATCGTGTTTATAAACGTTTGGTTTATAGATGTACAAAAGAAATGTGTGATTATCATTTAGCTGCAGTTCACTGATACGGAACTGAGCGATATGCAACGTGAAATTGACGACGAGGCTGTAAAATTGACATCCACGCTATATGATTCTATTAAAAAATTACGTCATCCATGTTTCTTTTCGTGTATGATGAAAACACCAATTAAAACTGAGAGGTTACGATACGTGAGGAAATGATTCGCTTAGTTAACTTGCATGATATGTACAAATATACGTTAGTAACCGCAGGATGGTGAGTTGGGGTATTGGTAGGGGTGGGGGTGGGGGTGGGGGTGGGGATGTTAGGGGCATTGGTGGGGGTGGGGGTGGGGATGTTGGGGGAGCAATCGGAAGGGGTGGTGAGTTGGGGAAGGGGTGAGGGTGAGGGGGGTGAGCGATAAGGAGTTGTGGTGATTTGGGTGGGGGTGAGGGGGGGTCGGAAGGTGTGGTGAGTTCGGGCAAGGGCGGGGGGTGAAGGGGGAGCTATAAGAAGGTGTGGTGGGTTGAGGTGGGGGTGAGGGAGGAGCGATCGGAAGGTGTGGTGATGTGGGTGGGGGTGAGGTGGGAGCGATAAGAAGGTGTGGTGAGTTGAGGTGGGATTGAGGTGGGAGCGATAAGAAGGTGTGGTGAGTTGGGGTGGGGGTGAGGGAGGAGCGATCGGAAGGTGTGGTGATGAGGATGGGGGTGAGGTGGAAGCGATAAGAAGGTGTGGTGAGTTGAGGTGGGGGTGAGGGGGGGCGATAAGAAGGTGTGGTGAGTTGGGGTGGGGGTGAGGGGGGGCGATAAGAAGGTGTGGTGATGTGGGTGGGGGTGAGGTGGGGGCGATAAGAAGGTGTGGTGAGTTGGAGTGGGGGTGAGGTGGGAGCGATAAGAAGGTGTGGTGAGTTGGGGTGGGGGTGAGGTGGGGGCGATAAGAAGGTGTGGTGAGTTGGGGTGGGGGTGAGGTGGGAGCGATAAGAAGGTGTGGTGAGTTGGGGTGGGGGTGAGGGGGTGGCGATAAGAAGGTGTGTTGGCGGTTATTTGTCTCTGTCTTTCTTTCGATAATTGCATTTTATTGTTGAAGGCATCACGATGATCGGAAATCAGAATGTTGATACGTAAAATTCGTTACAAAATTACAAAAAAGCAAACAAACCCAAGGATACCGAATGCACTAAAGACATCAGTTTTGGTGTATGTGGTTTTAGATGAAAGCAAAGTTTTGCATGCATGAGAGATTTCGGTATTTCCATTCGTCGTCTCCTCTGTTAGAACCTGATCGTTTCCAATGATAGCTTTGTGTTCAGAATGTTGGAGGCGTAAAATTATTCAATATTTAAATTGACACGATCGGTAAGTGATACATTGTAAGATAAGGATGGTGGGTAAATAGAAGCTGCTATTTCAGACACGCACAGAATGATAAGCAACTGAATATATTAATGAATAAACGTAATGACGAAAATTACTGTCAAATTGTATCATAAATATTTACACCGTGGCGTGTATCGGCACTAGACACAAGCATATCAACAATATATATGTACTTGAGTCAAGCCCCCGATTCAAGTGTTTAGAGTGCACAATATCTTCAAGCCGAGCGTGTGAACTCACAACAAACTAATATGTAGAAAAAATTCAGATGAATAATATTCACGTTTTGAATTGCAACTGTAAAAAAACCGAAATTGATTTGCAGCCGTCTACATCCTGACCGCCGGTTTACATTCTCACCCGATGAAACATCCAACCAGAGTTCCGCCCAGGGACGATTACCTCGCTACACCGACCACCATACCGTGATACCATGCTACACCGACCACCATACCGTGATACCTCGCTAGACCGACCTCCATACCGTGATACCTCGCTAGACCGACCGCCATACTGTAATACTTCACCAGACCGACCTCCTTACCGTGATATATCCCTAGACCGACCACCATACCGTGATACCTCGATAGACCGACCACCATACCGTGATACCTCGCTAGACCGACCTCCTTACCGTGATATATCCCTAGACCGACCACCATACCGTGATACCTCGATAGACCGACCACCATACCGTGTTACCTCGCTAGACCGACCGCCATACCGTGATACCTCGCTACACCGACCACCATATCGTGATACCTCGCTAGACCGACCTCCATATTGTGATACCTCGCTACACCGACCACCATACCATGATACCTCGCTAAACCGACCACCATACCATGATACCTCGCTAGACCGACCACCATACCGTGATACCTCGCTAGACCGACCACCATACCGTGATACCTCGCTAGACCGACCACCATACCGTGATAACTACCCTAGACCGACCACCATGCCGTGATACCTCGCTAGACCGACCACCATACCGTGATACCTCGCTAGACCGACCACCATGACCGCCATACCGTGTTACCTCGCTAGACCGACCACCATACCGTGATACCTCGCTAGACCGACCACCATACCGTGATACCTCGCTAGACCGACCACCATGCCGTGTTACCTCGCTAGACCGACCACCATACCGTGATACCTCGCTAGACCGACCACCATGCCGTGTTACCTTGCTAGACCGACCACCATACCGTGATACCTCGCTAGACCGACCACCATGCCGTGTTACCTCGCTAGACCGACCAACACACCGTGCTATCTCGCTAGACCGACCACAATACCGTGATATCTCCCTAGACCGACCACCATGCCGTGTTACCTCGCTAGACCGACCACCAACCGTGATACCTCGCTAGACCGACCACCATACCGTGATACCCCCCTAGACCGACCACCATACCGTGTTACCTTGCTAGACCGACCACCATACCGTGATACCTCGCTAGACCGACCACCATGCCGTGTTACCTCGCTAGACCGACCAACACACCGTGCTATCTCGCTAGACCGACCACAATACCGTGATATCTCCCTAGACCGACCACCATGCCGTGTTACCTCGCTAGACCGACCACCAACCGTGATACCTCGCTAGACCGACCACCATACCGTGATACCTCGCTAGACCGACCACCATACCGTGATAACTCACTAGACCAACGAACAAACCGTGCTACCTCGCTAGACCGACCACCATACCGTGATACCTCGCTAGACCGACCACCATGCCGTGTTACCTCGCTAGACCGACCACCATACCGTGATACCTCGCTAGACCGACCACCATACCGTGATACCTCGCTAGACCGACCACCATGCCGTGTTACCTCGCTAGACCGACCACCATACCGTGATACCTCGCTAGACCGACCACCATGCCGTGTTACCTTGCTAGACCGACCACCATACCGTGATACCTCGCTAGACCGACCACCATGCCGTGTTACCTCGCTAGACCGACCAACACACCGTGCTATCTCGCTAGACCGACCACAATACCGTGATATCTCCCTAGACCGACCACCATGCCGTGTTACCTCGCTAGACCGACCACCAACCGTGATACCTCGCTAGACCGACCACCATACCGTGATACCTCGCTAGACCGACCACCATACCGTGATACCTCGCTAGATTCCGGCCAAATACTCAGTGACACTTTGCTACTTTGGTCAAAAACACTACACATATATGACTGTTATCATGTAACAGTGTAAATGTCCCAGCAGTCAGACTTATGAATTCTGAGAAAATCCATATGTAAATGATTAAAGTGGCTAGAGGTGATCCGTTCATAATCACGTGCGATTTGTTAAGTTTGTTTGTTTACGAAATTTCGTTTACCATATGTTTATTCTGTTGTCTTGTCCCGTTATGTCTTCTTAAGATTATTCTAGAATTTTTTAGAAACAGCATGTTTCAGGTTGTCTATAGTATCGGTTACTACTTCATTTATCAGGTAGATAAACATACATCACCACCTCGATACATATCAATCTGTGTATTACAGAGTCTAACACGCCGATTTTGACGCTAACTAGACAGCATGCCTCGTTATCGGTGACAATCTCGCAGTGGTCAGCTCCGCCATTTTAACACTTACTATCGAAAAGTGGCGTGTCATTATCAGAAAGCTGTCAACAACAGTTAGACGACAAGATGATAACACGTTGTCGTATGGTGTTGGAGGAGGAGTTTGTGGGGGGAGGGGAGGAAGTGTGTGTCCCCTGGTCCATCGAAAGACCTTAGGGGTCCGGTATTTCCGTGATAGGGGCCTAATGTGGCGTGTTTCTGTCGGGACGATGTCAACGTCTTGGTATGGAAGGAAATACGACGCGTTTTCGGGTCCAATTACGGCCCCTTTGTTGGCGATACTATGGTATTAATTTGTATCAGGTTACAATTTTCGCCCGCTAGTTATCCGGGCAGATGGAAGGTTGGGGAAAAAGTGTGTCACGCCGGAAAGTATAAACTCGGGGCGAAAGATGCTTGACTGATCTAATAATGCAAAATGTTTTGTTTCATCATTGAAATATTTCGGTTTTCTCATTCTTGATTTGCAGAAATGTGACATGACTACAGGTGCCATTCACAATTTAGTAGACAAATTATAAAGACTTTGACTTATATAAGAGATTCAATGTAATAGATAAATTATTCAGCCTTCGACTCATATAAAACATTTAATTTAGTAGACAAATCATAAAATATTCGACTTATATAACAAATTCAATTTCGTGATTCCTGTCGTCTGATTTTAGTATCTTCTTTTTTTAGATAAAATTGTTTACTGCGAAAACTAAGAATGAACTATGTCAATAAAATCAGTGGTGACGTCATTTAGTTACGTATGTTACTATATTTAAACAACGGAACCACTCTTGTCGTTATAATACTATAACAACATCGCAAAACGCTAAAAAGAATATGTCTGCATCCCAATGTGTTAATACTGCCGTTAACACAATGAAAACATAGCTTAATCCTGACAGAGTTCAGACAATTTCTATTGTGACGTCACAATCATACGTCCCACCATTCAACATGCCTGGTAATATTTTGTCGCGTAAAATTGCTACTAATGTCCGTTTAAAAATGTCGCTTTAAAAAATGTGTTTTTTTTTCAAAATGAAAATCAGGTTTCACTATAAGTTATTTTTATGTCAGAAAGATTAACAAGTCGCTTGTTTGTTCTGGTGGGTTTATTCCGTAAAATGGGAGTGTCAGACAAGTGCTTTCTGACGGCTACCTCACTGAACAACATACGGGAGGCCCGGCACGTGCAATCAAGAGCAATTAGGGTAAAATGTCTTGCTAAAGAAAACAGCTACGTCAGCACATAACAGACATTTTTTACCATAGAAACGCAATTAGCGATGGTAAGGAGCGTCCAATCACCACATGCCATCCTCACCTGATGTAACGCCGGTCGGTCTTATATAAAACATATTCTATTCCCTAACTATAAAGAATTGAATATCGATATCAATCTTAATCAAATCTATATATGTTGTGACACACAGATGTTTTGTTTCAATCAAAATTTTACAGATCGTGTTTTGTATATACTAGAAAGTTGACTGACCTTTTAATTAATATTTCTTTCAGTTTTGATGGATGGACTCGTTGACACGGGCCCGTTAGTGTGATAGAAGTCTGGGTCATATCTTTAACGGTGCGTATTAATCTGATACAAAAATGAAAACTCTTTTTTATATGTTTTTTTCTCCCCAAGAGTCTTTTACAATAAGATATTGTGAATACTGTGACTAAATCTAAAGTCTATCTGAATGTCATGCTTGTATTTTTTCATCTCCACTGTTTTTTACTAGTTTTTACTAGTGCTGTATCGCCTTTTTAGACGTCGCTAAAATTAGGGATGGACCATTTGTTCACTTTTACGTACCTCGTAAAACTGAATTTGGATTTTTTCTCTGTGATAAAACCGTGTGTTACACTAACGGTATTCCTTAGAATTTTTGTGTGGGAGACATAATCACCTCAGCTTTATTAATAACATAACATTACCTTACACCTGTAGGTTGTGAAATACGAGCCAGACATAAAACAATTAGCAATATATACAGAAGTTATTTCTTCTTGTGAAACAAACAATACACATTTATATCATGTATGATGACGCACATGACACAGGCGCCTGATTTCCACTCTCAAAATACCACGATAATCATATTTTCAAAAAGACAGAGAAATACAAGCATTTCATACAATTACATACATGTATGGTGGTAACGAATGAACCACTGTGAACGCTCCACAGGTGTTTAAAAGGCTGTTCAATGTGAAATCACTTAAAACGGCCCATAAACTCACAATAGCTACAGCGAAGCCCCTGTGATTAGTTCGGTGACATCGAACTGAAAACACCACGTAAGGTTTGCTAACGAGATCTTTTCATCAGGCAATTGACTTATTTCACGGGTCATTTCTGACCAATGTTGTCAACAGGCTAAGATCTTTGTGTTCACTAGGTATATTGTAGACACGGATTTGTAACAAACAGAACAGACAAAATCGTGTTTGGGCGCAGTATACTTCGTTAGACCAGAAAGGAACACAATAGACAGGCGAGAAGAGTACAAAGCATGTTTTGTAACTTTTAGTATTTTTGGTTTGACAGCAGTAGATAAGTCTTTTGTTGATATCGTAGCAGGGGTGTTTTTTTTCTTTTTATATAATTTTAAACACATGCTTACTAATATTGCGTAAGCAGTTGAATGTATGTGAACCAATGTCCGTGTTTTGATAACGTTATCTGATTTCTAAGTCTTGTATTTTGGGATGATTTATTATCCTAAATATAATCCTATCTCCACCACCTTTTGTTATACTGGAATTCATGTACCCTCTTTCAAATGGTCGGAGACGAAATAATTCACCTTAACCCAGCCCAGTACCCAACCAACACCCACCCCACCCCACCCCACCCTACCCCACCCTACCCCACCACCCACCCCACCCCTACCCCAACACCCACCCCACCCTACCCCAACCCTACCTCAACACCCACCCCACCCTACCCCACCCTACCCCAACCCTACCCCACCCTACCCCAACACCCACCCCACCCCTACCCCAACACCCACCCCACCCTACCCCACCCTACCCCAACCCCACCCCACCCTACCCCACCCTACCCCAACCCTACCCCAACACCCACCCCACCCTACCCCAACCCTACCCCACCCTACCCCAACCCTACCCCACCCTACCCCACCCTACCCCACCCTACCCAACCCTACCCCAACCCCACCCCACCCTACCCCACCCTACCCTACCCCACCCACCCCCACCCACCCCACCCCTACCCCAACACCCACCCCACCCTACCCCAACCCTACCTCAACACCCACCCCACCCTACCCCACCCTACCTCAACACCCACCCCACCCTACCCCACCCTACCCCACCCCACCCTACCCCACCCCACCCCACCCCACCCTACCCCACCCTACCCCACCCTACCCCAACCCTACCCCACCCTACCCCACCCTACACCAACACCCACCCCACCCCTACCCCAACACCCACCCCATCCCTACCCCAACACCCACCCCACCCTACCCCACCCTACCTCAACACCCACCCCACCCCTACCCCAACACCCACCCCACCCTACCCCCGCGTTTCCTCATTCATGTAGATAGTCTAACTTGGTCCCCTTACCCCTATTGCCCCCCTCCCTCACCCTGTTCCTCTCTCCCAGCCCTGTCCTACTCTCCCCCACCCCCAGTCCCCCCTCTCCCCCCACCCAGTCCCCCTCTCCCCCACCCAAGACCCTCTTTCCCCCACCGATGCCAGTGATCTACTTTAAGTACGTATATAAAAAGGTCAGCCACTTAACACAGGTCCGTGTGTGAAGATTTCTGACAAGAGACATGATTACCACAGCATGCATAAATTAATTATGACACTGGATTGATTGGATCAAACGCTGTCGTGGTCTAATTAGCATGAAGATGACCGTGTATATCATCCACACAGTACTCAACCATCCATCATCTCAGACTCCTTATCTCCCGTCACTGATAATGTATACTATTATAGGTGGCAATTTTAAACATCTGAAATCATTTCGGACGGTGATTAATAACCACATCCGGGTCTTTGTCAAATACCCGAAGGTTCGACACAGTTTCTTATTTTCCATTTTAAAAGTTTCTTAAAATTTAAAATAAAATATCTCAATTTTTATACGATTGATAATATCTACATTGTTATTGATTCCTTGACTTTCAATGGGTCGTCATGGTAACGGGGCCATGACCATCGGAACAAAGGGAAGATACTTTATCGTAAATAATCCGACAAACCAATTACATCACATGTAACAAACACCAAACACCACACATACACAACAAACACCCATCACCACACATACACAATAGACACCCATCACCACACATACACAACAAATACCCATCACCACACATACACAACAAACACCCATCATCACACATACACAACAAACACCCATCACCACACATACACAACAAACACATACACAACAAACACCCATCACCACACATACACAACAAACACCCATCACCACACATACACAACAAATACCCATCACCACACATACACAATAGACACCCATCACCACACATACACAACAAACACCCATCATCACACACACACAACAAATACACATCACCACACGTACACAACTAACACCCATCACCACACGTACACAACAAACACCCATCACCACACACACACAACACCACACATACACAACAGACACCCATCACCACACATACACAACAAACACCCATCACCACACATACACAACGAATACCCATCACCACACAGATACACAACAAACACCCATCACCACACATACACACACACACACCACACACACAACAAACACACATCACCACACATACACACAACAAACACCCATCACCACACACACAACAAACACCCACACCACACACACAACAAACACCCATCACCACACAGATACACACAACACAACACCTCACATCACCACACATACACAACAAATACCCATCACCACACATACACAACAAACACCCATCACCACACACACAACAAACAATCACCACACACCAAAACACCCATCACCACACACACACACACAACAAACACCCATCACCACACACACACACAAACACCCATCACCACACATACACAACAAACAACACCCACACAACACACACAACACACATCACCACACATCACCACACAACAAACACCCATCACCACACATACACAACAAACACCCATCACCACACATACACAACAAACACCCATCACCACACATACACAACAAACACCCATCACCACACATACACAACAAACACCCATCACCACACATACACAACAAACACCCATCACCACACATACACAACAAACACCCATCATCACACACACACAACAAATACACATCACCACACGTACACAACTAACACCCATCACCACACGTAACACCCATCACCACACGTACACAACAAACACCCATCACCACACATACACAACAAACACCCATCACCACACATACACAACAAACACCCATCACCACACACACACAACAAATACCCATCACCACACATACACAACAAACACCCATCACCACACATACACAACAAACACCCATCACCACACATACACAACAAACACCCATCACCACACATACACAACAAACACCCATCACCACACATACACAACAAACACCCATCACCACACATACACAACAAACACCCATCACCACACATACACAACAAACACCCATCACCACACATACACAACAAACACCCATCACCACACATACACAACAAACACCCATCACCACACGTACACAACGAATACCCATCACCACACACACACAACAAACACCCATCACCACACACACACAGCAAACACCCATCACCACACATACACAACAAACACCCATCACCACACACACACACACCACACATACACCATCACCCATCACACACACACAACAAACACCCATCACCACACATACACAACAAACACCCCACACATACACACATACCCACACCACACACATACACAACACACCCATCACCACACACCACACACACACAACAAATACCCATCACCACACATACACAGCAAACACCCATCACCACACATACACAACAAACACTCATCACCACACGTACACAACGAATACCCATCACCACACGTACACCACAAACACCCATCACCACACGTACACAACAAACACCCATCACCACACACACACAACAAACACCCATCATCACACATACACAACAAACACCCATCACCACACATACACAACAAATACCCATCACCACACATACACAACAAACACCCATCATCACACATACACAACAAATACCCATCACCACACACACACAACAAATACCCATCACCACACATACACAACAAACACCCATCACCACACATACACAACAAACACCCATCACCACACACACAAAACACCCATCACCACACATACACAACAAACACCCATCACCACACATACACAACAAACACCCATCACCACACACACACACAACAAACACCCATCATCACACATTTTACAGTCTCATAATTTATCATCGTTCAGTGTCCTCTGAGCCAAGTACATGAAATCGCCGGCACACCTGCCTTGGTACAGGTGATGTAGATATTACACAGAGCATGCGTGAGTCCGTCCTCTCTCGTGCGCCACAGCACGACTCCCAGTCTCTGCAGCCAAAGAGCATGCCAGTCATCAGTACACTGCCTGTGCGAGGGGCTCGCTGATTGGACTGGTGTAGCTCTGTCTTACTTGGTGGCCAAGCGTGATTCATAATCCCGTCAATGTCGACCCTACATACACTAGCACCACAATATTACTGATAGACGTGAAACACGGATCCCACGTAGTGTGCCGAGGAGAGCCGAGTGTCAACGCGACTAGTCTGTTCCATCCTCTTACCATCAGTAACAGCCGAGTTGGTATTGCCCGAACACACACACACAGCCACTGAGGAGGTTTTTCATACACATTGCTACACTTGTACTTGTGTTTGTTAGTGAATGTTACTCTGGAAACGGATATGTCAATTGTGTGCACTGTTGCTAGGTTTGTGCGATAATCATTATTTTTGCTGGCTTTGTGTAGTCACACCTTTAAAACAAGTCGAAAGCAGTGTATCTGTCAGTGTTTAGCACAATTAACAGCGAAGCAAGGACATAATACACTGTACCATCATCGCTTCTCGTACAAAAACAATCGTGTATGGAGAAGGAAAGAAAATCCCATCAATGTGGCTTTTCATTATGGTGAAACCTTTTAACATCATTTATTCTGGACTTATCAAAAGGAGGGACCTCGCCATTCGTTTGTGTCGGTTCTATGGTAATGCCCGGGGGTGGGGGCGGTCAGCCCACTATTAGCACGGGTTTTCCTCGTGGGCTGCACGAGACGGTCACTTGCATTGTCGCATGAAGCGCGACAAATTCTTCCCACGAACAATGTGTTGTGGAAAAAAAGATACCCGGTTTTTGTTGTTAAAATAGACCTTTCTTTAGTCACGGCGCTATTTTGAATATTCTGCTTGTGTTGAGTCCGTGGTCGTGTGAACTCGAGCTTGACGGGTCTTTTGTATGAACTTGTGATAGAGATCAGCTTTAATACTAGGTACAAAGTGTACTGGCTGTCAAAGTCGCCAGGGCGCTCTATGGATGTACTTGAACTGAGGAAAAACTTATCGTAGAAAAATATTGTGTATGATTATATTCAAATATAAATTGTGGATATAGGAAAATAGTAATTGATCAAAGAAGGATATATTCTGCCAGTCATTATGGATATTAGTGAATGGATTATTCTGACAAGCTCGCTGATCACTATTGCTACAGGTAAGTGTTGAAATCGCCATGTATTCATTACACATTAGTGTATGTATCTGATATAGACATTTTGTTACATTCCTATTTCAGTAACAGCGCTACTTCGGAAACGCTCCGTCAAATACAATAATAACGCCGTGTTAAAGTTATAAAATAAAAATATAACCTGCTCCGGAAATTGAGATAGCGTACCGATTTAGTCATTGTCAACAATTGATTCTATAAAACAGTATTGAAATCCTGTAAAGTTTGATATCTGTCAAGAGGTGACATTTACAAAGCTGTGTCACATTTCACGTTCGATGTAAATTTCACGTCAGGAAAGATCACTGTAGAATTTCGTCAAACTGACAACATGTATGTGTGTGTACCAAGTTACACTGTAAATCTACAAGAATGATGGTCGGGATTCAGACGGGAAAATGTAGTAACATTCATTTTATCAAAGACGGACCGAGGTGTGTGAGCACTTATTCACATTTTCGTAATAAATTGTAAATTTCCCAAAACAGTTTGTTTACGTTTAAGAAATTGAAAGTGCTTCGTGTAGTTATTTATATAATTAAAACAATAAGATTTTGATTCGACCTGTATCAGAACATCTCCAATAAAAACAGACCGAAACTGATACCTGATAACAGTGTAGACGAATTGTTTACTTGTTGATAGTAACGTTTAAACGAAAACAGTGTTTTTATTACGCTGGAACTGTTCTCGGTTTATTTAGCAAAGTAATGAAAACGATAGGAAATGTATAAGAAATTGTGAATATAGATCAAGGGGACAGCTATTTCGTATAGCTGATGAACGGTTGCTGGTTTCTCTGATCTTGGGAGGGTTAAGATATGAAGGTCGCGGGGAGGGATATTTGGTGAATTGAGAAAGTTGTTTGGGATTTTTAAGTGTTGTCTACTACAATTTCTTGTAATAAATATCTTTAGGCAGACGCCTGGTATAAAAATATTTACAAATAGCGGTAGAGCGATACAGGGTTTCCACAACATCAGAGTATATAGTATACAGGCGTTTACGGAAAGCGATCAAGATTGTTTAGCACAAGTAGTTCCAGACTTTCGTACTTTACAGCATTTCGGCCACGCCCCCTTCTCATTTTCCCCTCCTGCTCGCTATAACAGTCTATTTTACACGTGTTTTCAGCATCGCAAGTTAAGACGAACATTCAATTCTTTTTGAATTTTTAGCAAATATCTTAAAAGTTTAATGTTTTTCGATCATTTTGAAATGTTCTTATATTTAAAAAAAATTAACACAGGTAGGATGCTCTTATATAAAAGTTATTGTATTGAGAAAATTTGTTAACAAGGAACTTTTTTATATTCTGATAGAACTTTAAGGGATATAAAACATGTGTAATTTAGGCAGGGCAAAAATAGCGAAGAACATTATTTTTTGGTGTCTGGGAATACACGTCGCGAGAGGTATGGATGTAATTATCACATATCGTCACTCGGTTGGCAGAACGAAATCCTCATCGGTGGGAGGAATTTTCATCTGTCTAGTAAATAGGTCTTTGACATACTGAAAATATTAAGTGTGCGTTTTCTGTAACTATAGAGGTGATGTATTGAAAACATGCCGAATGCATTGTCAGTTTAGCCAGAATGGTCGTTATGTAGTCTTAGCAGACATCTCAAGAATGTGTCCCTGTTGTTAAAAAATACATAGATATATTACATAACTTCATATATAAAGAACTTGACATGTGATATTAACTTACGTTAGAGAGTGTACAAGTATCGTCGTTTTTCGAAATACGTAAAATTAAAAGACACTAAACAATGATAAACGTAATAAAAACTTAAAAATTACATCTATCCCGTTCTGCATTGAACGGTGTTCAACTTTCCTCTGGGTGGATGTGCAATGTTTATTGAAAAATACTAAACCGGGAACTTTATATTAATTTTAACAGCGCTAAGAAGGAAAATTGTAATTGGAAAATACAATAAAGTTTCATAATTGTGTAACCTAATGTTGACTCCGAGAACTGGGGATGTTGGATGTTTATAACTATATAATCCTGGTATAAAGTACAGAATTACTGATACCACTGGAGGTGATATTTATCTATAGTGTTATTTGGGAAAATGGAAATTGTTACAAGGAAGCGAAATGAGAAGCTACATAATATTAATATATAATATAGAATGGTATTTCTAGCTTAGTAAGGTATAATGAAAATTATGTATAGTAGAAAACCGAGTGTTGTATAATATGATAGTATTGACTTCATTTCAGGTGAATAGGAATATTTATCAACCGCGTTTAATTGGAAAATGGATATTAGAAATTTGTAAGATTGTATTATATATTAAAGATAAATATAACGTGTGATATAATTGTAATATTATCTACACTGAACTCTTCTGCTTCACGGACAGAGAAATCAAATACAACCCGAAAGGTTCCAGTGTACAGTATGTAAACAAATAATGGTGTGAATTTATCAATATTGAAAATTTTCAAAGGAGAAACTGTGCTTTTGAAGATAAAAATAACACCCATGATATAATGTACAACTTTAAACATAATATTTGATAATTTATTTTGATAATAATACACACCCTTCTCAGTAAATTCTATGTAGGTTTGAAATAGCTGACATGTTTGTAAGAATTAACACAAGTGCCTTAAATAATGTATAACTAGGTAATCTACCGTTATAGCAGTGTGAGAAAAGAGATTTCTAATTCTATTAACATAATGCTTGTATTTTATAGCAATATTCAATAATCTGTTTGGTATAATACGCTTAGAATAGTATGAGGGTAGTATGGTATTGTAGCCTTACAATAACATTACCCCTGATTCAATATTTACACAGATTGAGCGGTGTTGACTCTAGCCACCGTCGGCTGCCTATCGAACGGCTTGTATCAAAACCGAAATGTATTGCCCTATTGTAGCAGGGGGCGAAATCAACTACTAAAATGTCTAGATCGAGCGCGCTTCATACTCATCTCTGTTTTTGTATAAACTCTCTGTGAACAGGGAAACAGTGGCTCGACTGTGTGTTAAAATCCCATGAATGGTTTCTTTAAACAATAAAATGTTTATTCTAGCGGAACAAACGTTAGAGATTAAAAGATATATACTTTGTTATTGTGTGTAAAGTGTCATTTGATTAGTGTTAAAATACTGCGCTCTGAGAATTCGAAACTCGTGGTGATAATACATGAAAACCGCACAATTTTCAGACAAAGGCTAATGTTTTTAAAAATCTTTTTATCTCAGTGTTTGTTTTTTTTATTATTACTCAATTTTCCTTGTGGAAACAATTGTTGCAGTGACCATGAAGAGATGTCCCCCAGTGGTGACAAACTGATCCGTGTACTGTCCGGGTTTTTTTTCCACGAATAGCTCTGCATATTTTGCGGACTGACGTGACGTCTTAGGTCATTGCCCAGCATTGATTGGTCATCATGAGAAGGGTCTCGGGTTGGAATTTTTTCATTAAGGAGTCTGTAGTGTTGGAGTGTCTGATGGCAACATCTATAAGATAACATTAATTTCACACGCTGCTATTGATATTTGATATTGGCTAAGTTTTAATGGTAAGACCAATTTCATCAGATGTGGCGCATTATGTGACCCTCGTGGAGTAACAGGGTTTCTAGACATCCACTATCGTAAACAGATCGCGAACATGTATATAACTGGGAGTCAGGATTCGATAAAAAACATTTCATATACTTAATCTTCTTTATTCCATTTTTGTTTTTATTTATAAAGACAGTTTCAAGTACATATATTTATGTATTTGTGTCTTTATCCGAAATAAACGTCAAAAAACAAAACCATTTCTAAAGCACTTTTTAAGTCAAGAATTGAATTGTATTAAAGCTATGTAAATAGAACGTTTAGGATACATTGCAATCAACTACAGGCGTTGTGATGAGTGTTGTGTTATACTGGATTTCAATCCAGATATAAACGTTACATCAATTATTTTCCCTGAGATAAAAATGAAAAAAGTTAGCACCAGATATGGAGGGAGATGGAGAGGACAAAAAACAGTTTGTGATCCATTAGGAAAATAGAAATCGTGTTTAGTAGATTTGAGATCTGGTTTAGTGATGTGACAGCTGTTTAGTAAGTTATTACTGTACATTAAATTGGAGTCACTTTATTAATTGTAATGACCATTATGAAATGTTATTTCTGATATAAACGACACGTAGGGGATTTCACCCCCATCAGTCCGTTTGATTGGATAAATTACATGAGTGATGGGTGTTTATTTCAGGCCGAATGCAAATGACATGCCATCAATTTCATATGATCATTTTAAGGCAATTCAAGGTCATGTCATATTTCTCGCTAAACAAAATTGACATTTGGGATAAAGTTGAATGGGAATACATTTACAAAGATTGTCTCGAAGGCCTTCAAGTCATGATTGATAATTTTTGAGAACCTGGAGTTATTTTGGAAATTTGATTTTCTTCAAAAGTCATCAATTTTATTTCTGTAATATATGATAAAAAATTGTCATGTTTAAAACGGCTGAATATTGCCGTATTTTATTTTCATTTCATCATAGGTTAAACCGGTACCTTTTCTGAACTATTAAACACAAGACATATGACTAGATGTTATCGGTGCCTCTTCTTCACAGGGATGGAATTTATCGTGGCAAGTTATTAAATTACGGAACTTGTATACATTCCACTTGTATTCATGCACCCGTGAATGTCAGAAATTTATGAACTAGAAGATGATATACGTTTCTGCTTTGTTATTTCTTTTCACCCATAACTTGATAATATCACCTCGCTGATATAAAGCTGAGATCAAAAAGCACTTTAACCATAATATTGCATTTTTACCGAAAGTCCTTTTAGTGAAAACGTGCAAATTTTAATTGGATCGACGTGTCTCAGTATTTCAATTAATACGACTTTGGCAAAGTGACACGAATTCAATATAGGACGTAAATACATTTACAAAATAATTAGGACTGTATTTTCGGCATTTTCAATGTAAGA